TAACTGCATAGTGCATGTGCATTGTTTGTGCATGCCATAATCACAGATGCGATTTTTTAATTTTTAAATCCCCCACACTTGGAAACTGAAATTCCCCCAAATTTAAGGTCAAATCCCCCAAATTTAAAATTTTGTCGCATAATTACAATTTTTATAAATTTGAAAAGACTGTAGACTGGAACACACTGTACAATAATTTTTTATACTATTTATGCTAAACCGATGGATTAGAATAATTTTTCATACTAAAACAATGACAACAATGAACAACAACGATTTATAAAAACTGATGTCACCAGTGATGTCACTTATATATCACAGCCACCTAAAGTTACTTTAGATGGCTGTGCTTATACTTAAAAATTAAAATTAAATTTAAAAAACATTATTAGAAAATCGGACGTCATTGATTATGAGTAGAATTGGAACGATGACGCTGTGAATCCCATTTGTATTAACTCATTAATTTCTTAGTCTTCCGTTTTAGTTATATTCTCTATTTAACGTCACTTTAATCCACAGCCGATATATGGAAATACATATTTCTAAAACTTACATACATGACCACACGACGGTGGTCTATTAAGACAAAATGATCTATATATCAAAACTAAAGGCCTATATTTTTGTAAACTATTTAGATAAGTACATTTTTTGGGTGCCTTTCCCCCAAAAAATACCCCATCCGTTTTAGTTCATAAAAATTCCCCCAGACGCTTTGAAATTACCCCAAAAATGGGGGAATACCCATCGAGCAAAAAGATAAAAGAGGGAATCTAATCGTTATGAAAAGGAGACCAAAAAAGTGGCCTCTGATGGCGGACATATCCGGAAATGCAAAGGCGCTAAATTTAAATTTTCCAACACTTATTAACAATAGCTATAAAATATTTTTCAGACGAGAAAGTTTTAATTAAATATTAACTATAATAGTCTAAAAAGTGACACAATTGGTAAAATATTTCAATATAAATAAAATTTCATGTAACAGTTGGGACAAACAATAACATAACCTAACTAAATTTGACTTCTTAAACAAGGAAAGAGACTGTCTATCCTTGTCTAAAGTGGCCTCTCAAGATGGCACTTCCTGTCTATCAATATGTTTACCCCCACTACCTTTACATTCCCTCTTTTGTCTTATTGCTCGATGGGAATACCCCAATCTGGCAACTCTGTAGTTGTCTGGTTAGGTTAGGTTGTTAGGTTGGTCTGGTGGTTTGGCAACAGTGTTCCCAAACAATCGGTAGATCTTTCAAAATATAATATTTTGTTTAAATTTCATGTTTTGCAATTGGTTTATTTAAGAAAAAATAAAATATGTTTAATCACTTAAATTTAATAAAATAAAAAAATGAGAACCGAGATACTGAAATTAAAACGAGAAGGTTGCCAGTTGCCACTACTGGCACGTTGGCACTTGGCTTGCAGTGCAGTAACATGTAACCAATGACGTATATTATACGTCATTGCATGTAACATTTAACAGTAACGAAGAGGGAAATATAAGGCTTCTCTGTGTTGTCACATTTATATTGGGTACATACTACATATTTATATTATAATGGACTGCTCTGGATTATACTAAGTATAAGTAGACGAAAGAAAAAAAGAAGATTTAAGAACTTTGTCATGTTCATTTTAAACCATGTAATATAATTCTCAAATCATATAATATAATCTCAAACTAAATGAAACATTGAAATAACAGTAAAACAAATAAAAAAATTGTAATAAGTAACAGAAGATATTAGATCTTACACAAATCAGAAACAATCAAAACTTATTAAGAAAAAAATATATAAATATAAACTCAAACTGATTAAAATCTTAACTCTTAACTGATTAATTCCTATAAAGATGATTGTAACAAAAGACCTTTTCATTCAAAACAGAGAAATCGAGTTATTAACTTAAAAAACATAAAATGAAAAATGATTAGTAAAGCCTATTCATTTTTTTTTTGATACCAACGATCATTTGATATTTTGGACATTGGTGATTTTCCAATTTCAAAATTATAACAGGTGTTTCCTCCTTCTCCAGCTATATATCTTTTCGCGTGTAAAATACCTGTTATTGTTTCCGTTTCCGATTTCTTTGTTTGGTTTTAAGTATGGTTCACAGTAGAAAATATTCGCTCAACATTTGCTGAAGACTGTGGCAAAGATAGAAGGTTGAAAATGAAACTTGTTAAGTGAGAAAACGTTGGTGTTCCGTCGCCATTTTTAAATTTCGAAACCTCGAGTATGAAACCCTCTTACAAGGAAATATTATACAACTAACAGAAACAGACTACCGAGTTTTTACGTGCGGTGCACTCGAAAGCTTAGATTTTAGATTAACTATGCGTTGTTCCGGTTTTAAGTCTCCTAACTTGACAAATTCCCAGAACCAAGCGGTCGGGATCACAATGGATTTGAATTCATTTATTATTGTATTATTAGCTTTTATGACATCATGTACTTTGTAAAGTACCGCTTAGGTATCATTTAAGAATATATTTTTGAATGTTTTCACACGTTTTCGTGAATACACAAAAATGCTCAATGCAAATTACAGGTATCGCAAGAAAAATTGTTTTGTCTCTTACATATTTCTTCTCAAATTTAAGAATAAGTAAACATTTCTATCTGAATATAAAATTCGGTAGAATTTAAGTTCTTTTCGGTACATCGGTAGAAAAACGGCGAAATCGGTACATCTACCGATTTATCGGTAGGTTTGGGAACACTGTTTGGCAAGGCCTACATAAAGTGTCAAACTGCAGAAATAGCCATCAATGACGGGTGAACAGTGGATCAAGTGTCTAATGTGTCAATGTTGTGCACATGCTGATTGTACCAGTGCGGAAAAAGATGACTACATATGCGACTTCTGCCAGTTTTTTTTCTTCTTTTATGAGGGGGGTGATCCAAATGTTCGAAACATACCTCGGTCCTAGAAGGCGGACAGAACCGCCTTTCAGCCTCTGTTATGCAGGACTCCTCCAGCGTGGCCACGATGATATCCGAGGCCGCTCGCTCAGGTTGTTCGGACACCATCGCCGCCAATGCCAGAGACCTACCTGCTAAAAAAAACACCCTCCTCAGCGGTGAAATACCGGCCGGATCATCCTGATTGGGACACAACCTCGGCACGGCGTTCACCCTAACTTCCATTCACGCACAATTCTCACGCATTCTAGCACTTTCTCACTACGACGGAATTCTTCTCTCCCTCTATTCCTCCTTATTCATGTTAAATCTTGCTCATTCTGCCTTATCCTATTGCTTGGTCCTGGGCACTCTGCCTATCTTCGGGTCGCCTTACTTCTTGTTCCTTTCTTTCCAATGTTTTCCTCACATAATATATCTGAACTGCTCTCCACCGATCTGACGACTAAAGGTCGATTCAGACACATTAGTCACGTCTCGTCACAGTCCTGGCGCCGAACCGAACAATCCGTCATACAAAATATTCTTTAATAGAAATATGGCGCAGGCATTCACGTTCATCAGTTGACGAACAGTTTCCCAGCTGTCAGATAGTTGATAGTTCTGTGACCAAACAGGACTGGTTCGGTGCTGAGACTGTGACGGGACTGATGTGTCTGAATCTACCTTTAAGAATCTCCTCTACCAGTTCCGTGACTGATTGCACCCTACCTCCTAGCTCTCTCTCAAGCAGGCTCCTCTCAACTATCCATCTATCGCATACCAATAGTGTGTGAGACAGTGTCCGATGTTTCACAATACAGGCATTTGTCATTTTCTGCGTTTCCAAATATGTAAAGGTATGCCCTGAAGCAACCATGTCCTGTGATCATCTGCGTCAGGAAATAATCCAAACGCCATCCATCTTCTCAGGTTAGGAATCAACGACTTCGTCCACTGCGCCACCCTTCTCATCCCATCCCATTCCTCTTGCCACACCATTATAGACCTTTCCCTTTCTTCTTTTTTTAAACGTTCTATTGCTATGTCTTCATTTCTTCTCTCGTATATTTTTCCTCTTTCCTTCACTAGCACGTGCATTGTGCTGTGTACCTTCACACGGGGATCTGCCAGTAGACTAGGTTCAAAATGAAAACAATCATAAGCATACGCCTTTTATAAAAAAGTCAATTTCTTTTGATGTTCTTCTATTTAGGTCACTTAAAAGCCAAATTTGTACACAGTTTCCTAATTAATCTATTTTAGAAGTGAAATAAATTTATATATTTATTTAATTGTAAATTGTTTCTGCACCCGTAATAACTCATTAAATTTCTCGGGGGTCTGAAATACGAGGAAAAAGAAGGGTCCGAATTTACAGTATTTTTTTACAGTGCCTATTTCGTAAACCTTTGCAAAAATTAGCAACTAATATATATTCTTTAGAATATTTTTAACTAATTAAAAATTATTTGTAGATAATGTTAGTTTAGTTTAAAGTTGCAATTTAAATTACTTTAGTAAAAACGTTATTAAGTAAAAAGCAATTGGGGGTCCGAATCTGCCGCCTTTCCTCTACTACTAAAATTTAAAAATTGGTTCACGTTCTGCCATTGTGGAATGTTAAGTTCATAAAGTTAAGGACATACAAGCTCTGAATTAAATAATTTAAACGTTTAATTCATTTAGATTTAATTTATTTTTATTTCGAGTTAAAACAAAACAAAAACTATTAAAAATTATACTACTAAAATAAAAAAAAAAAAGTTACTCACGTTTTGCCTCCTGTGAGGATTGAACTCACGACCCCTGGTTTACAAGACCAGTGCTCTGCCACTGAGCTAAAGAGGCTATGTACATTTATTTGATGTTGATTAATTTGGAGGCATACGAAAATATTAAATTGATAGACACATGTTTTAAATAAAAAACAAATATTGGAAGTTATCTAAAAATATTATAAAAAATTAAAAACTTTTCAGGCAATAAAAAATTTAACTCGCTTTAGTTGGTTGCTGTAACATTATTTTTAACATTTCCTCTTCTTTTTTGTTTGGCAGAGAGGAGAAGTGAGGTTATAATCTCAATTTGTTTATTTTATGCATATTTTATGATATAAACGTTAAAACAAATTAAGATAAAATCTTAATAATAAAATTCGTTAGTTGCTAGACATTAAAATGGCAGACAGACTTACGCAGCTTCAAGACTGCATCAACAAAGTAAGGGAAAGTAAGTACTCTCATTTCAAAATTAACTTGGTTATTTTTTAGCAAGCTGAACATTTCTGTAACAGTATTGGAATATTGCAACAGTTTGCTTCTCCTAGTAAATTTCCAAACTTTGATAGAAGTGGATCCCAGACTCCTCAACAGCAACAGAATCAAGAGGATTATGTGCAATTGTTTACTACTTTAATTGCTCGTTGTGCAAAAGACATTGATACACTAATAGAATCTTTACCTAGTGAAGAAAGTTCCACAGAATTGCAGGTAGTTAACTAAAACCTACTAGGATATACTAGACAGATTTATATATTGTTGCTTTGGTGTATACAATATGTAGAATATGTATTAAATGGTGTGATATACTCGGTTCGCTATTCCCAGTCTGAACTGTCTAATGGATTTAGTAATTATTTTTTTGCGACATTAGTTACTTTTTGACATACTAAAAGTGGCTGGAAATTACTATACAACCAAGCCCAAGTACTCATAGCCAATATTAATAGTAAACAAACTAAATAGTAAATAAAATAGAACTTTGCGAATTACCGACAATCAATATTTATTTATCTGCACCATATAATAAATAGTTATGTTAAATTATAACAACTAAAATATATTTTTTAAATATATACTACCCAAAATTTGATGGGTTTAGAATACACTTCCACTATTTAGAATAATTCTTCTTTTTTCAAAGAAAGAAGTCTGAAATAGTAGTATACTTGAGCTAATAATACTGAGAAGTAGGAATTGTTGTGTTGTAGGTTTCCTACAATGAATCTGTCAAAATATGCCCCAGCTAAGCGAATGGAGTATACACATTCTATATAAACTTCATCTAATTTACTTACTGTTGCACCTCATTATCATTGACAGAGATCGAAGTTGACATAGTTGCCAAAGTATAAAAAATCCTGAATCCATTTTAAATCAAATAGGTCACATAATTATTGCAAAAGTGGATTATACAACAAAACAAATTAATATTACACACACTAATAATAATAATTATAATAATTAATAATACACACTAATTTTGTTCTAAAAAGAACAGACTTTATTAAATATGTAAAACTATAAACCAAGAGGTATTCACTTTAAAATTCAAAATAATAAAGTACAAAAAGTGTCAACACCGCAACTATCAAATAAGTGTTACCAATTTATGCCAAAATATCACCTTCGTTCAATTACAGTTACAGTGTGTTCTGAACAAATGTTCTTCATAAAAACACTTTATAATGCATTTATACAAATTAAATGAAACATTATTGTGTATTTCTTTTAGTTAACATTAATTGAAATCTTTAAGTATTATTTCTACATGTATATAATAAAATATGTCTAGTGGCTATAATGCCACTGTACTCGGCAAAGTGATTCTAAAAAGAACACACCTACTGCCTAAATATTTCGTGTTAGTATCATGTGATCTCACGAGCTATGACGCGGATGACATGCAACTGTAAGTAAATTAGATGAAGTATAGATGTAAGTGCCACATTGTAGAAAGATAAAATACTCAATTTATTTTTATGTAAAGTATCAAGTAAAAATCAAGGTACATCATTTTCTGAAAATATTCTTTCTAAATAAATACTACTTGCTGGGCTTGATAAAAACTGCTTTCTTCTTCTGGTGCACTCCATTACTGGAGTTTTGCAATCACTATATCAAAATGTTATCTCTTCTGTGATAGTCCTAGTAATTGTTGAACACTCATACCAATCCAAGTTCTGAAATTGGAAAGCCATGACATTATAATTCTTTATTTATTTGATTTGTAACTTGTTGTGTCCATGATATTCTAGTATTCTGCAATACAGCCACATTTCAAATGTAATGTATCCTCATTTTTTGAGTGTTGAAACTTTTTTGTAAATGTTGAAAAATGCAAAAATTTTTTGGCTTATGCAATATCTTTTCTGATCCTACTTATTTTTAATTTTAGTTACAAAGTTTGAGGATTTTAGAACAGGAAAATCAAGAGGCTGCTGAAAGATTAGAAGAGGTAGTTAAAAATGGTCAGGAATTACTAGAAAAAATTCAAGCTGCTCTTAGTGATATTGCGCAAGCCCAACTTGACATGCAACATTTGACAAAAACAATAGCACAAATTGAGAATAAGGAATTATAGTGTGATAAGATTTTTTACTTAAGTTATGAATATTTTATATTATTGTAATGTAAGTTTTAATACATTTTTTCACCATGCTTGGTTTTTATTTACTTTTGACAAGGCTGAGCAGCAAAACACACAGCTATTATAGAACTATTTCTTTTAGCTATGTTTTTCTTATAAAAGCTTGAGCTTTAGAAATTGAAATCCTTAAGGAAACTGAATTCTTTAGTTGGCTATATACCATGAATCACAAAAGTTTTTATTTAAAAAGATTCCTTTATAAAAGATAATGTTAATATAAAAACCCTATCGGGCTACATCACAGAATGTTTATGGAATAACTATTCCATCCAGTAGCGGCCGGCAGTGCCGACCCACACCTTTTTATATATTATAGATTTTTTTAATACTTAATTTAATCAGTATTTCGATAATTAATTGTGGCAGGTAATCAGTTGATGTCATTTGTTTCTGTGAAATAAAAAAATATCTGTGAGATAATAAAGACTAAATTTTATTCATGGTTGTTAAAAGAATTCGACTAGACTAAATTTTATTTATGGTTTTTAAAAGAATTCATCCAATCTGAGCGTTAAGTGATCCCTGCGTAAGACACTTTTCAAATTAATGATCCGAAATCGGGACATCCATCCGCCTGTGTGAATTCTTAAAAGACATGTTTCGGGGGATTGGCAAGCTGATCCCAAGCTTGACGATTTACATGTAAAAATCAACGGAATATTAGTTGATGAGCAAGCAAACCTACATTTCTCATGAATTTTATTGCTAAGTACGGCAAATTAAAATTTGCCGACGCTGCATTTGGATTGGTGATTGGTCGCGAACGGTACCTTGCGAGCGCGGGATGAAATGTTATTTTGGGATGGATAAGTACTTAAGACGTAAAATGATATTGAGTGTATGAACTAGCTTTTCTTTCTAGGATTTATTTTTATTTTCTAAAGTACTGTGATTCATTACGTCTGCCGTAAATAGTTAAAGGGTTTTTGATATAAAGTTTTTTTAAATGAAAGTGTAAACAAATTCAGGTAAATTAAAAATGGGTTTTCATTTATTCCATATGAAGAACAAATTCTTATTAAAAATAAGGGGCGTCATTTGCCTAAAATGTCCCGGCTTATAAATATTAGTGCGGGGGGAAGTAATAGATCATTTTCATATAATTGGTACAGTAAGTACTCATCACTTACCGGGAGTTAAATAAAAAACAAACGCTTATGGTGGCCTTGCATTTTATTTTCGACAAATACGGGCAAACATCAAAATCTGTGGTGTGAATTTGGTTACGATAATTTAAAGGAACTATTTACGGCTTTACAAAAACATGATATTTCGAAAGATCATACATACAGCTAGATTAAATTAGATTTATTTGGAAAACAAATATCTATGTTTCATTAGATAATGCCCAACGTGAAAATGCTATTAATATTAAACATAATGAAATGGTAAAAAATAATCACGCAGTTTTACGTTGCTTAATTGATATTGTAATTTTTTGAAGTTGTCAGGAATTATCATTTAGGGGATACGATGAATCGGATTTATATCGTAATTATAGAGAACTAATAAAAATGTTTAAGAAATACGATTTGAAATGTTCTAATTCACTTTCTGATTCGAAGACATTTAGCGGTGTATCTAAAACAATCCAGAATGAATTAATAGTATAGTATGAATTATTAGTAAATTCGTTGTAATCCGGGTTACCTATCTTTCATCCTGTATGTCTAGTTCGCTGTCGTGAATAACATACAGGCACAAATCACCTACGGTCTGTGTTCAGTAAGGTTTTTTTTTGTCTCCTTAGATAGGCATACCATCTAATAAAAGACTTCAATAATCATTTTTGTTTTTCCTATAAATTTAGAACCTAAACATGTTAATAAATTAACTCTAGTCTACGTTGTTTGGAAGTAGCAAAATGGGTTATAACGTTATCGTAATAGAATTTTGGAGAGATTATAAAAGTTTTTTTCTATTGACATTTGAGACAAGCTTGACATTCTCTCTTGTTTCAGCAAAATGTTTTGATTCTTTCAAGACAAGAGAAATCTCGTTCATTTGGGGCAGAAGTTGGTGTTAATGAGAGAATTAATGACAATAATTTATTAATTTCGGTAACAGTTTGTTGTAATGAATTGCAGTATTTAAAATTATACACATCTTGTAACTTATCCTACATTCCGAAAATATTTGGATCAGCATAATTTTAATTCATTTTCTAATTTTATTTTATTAACTTTTTAAATTTTGAATCGTCAGAGGACAAAAATTTGCAAAAATCTTCAAAATTCGGAAAAAGAGTAGGTAGGTATCTATTTGCATAATAATATACTAAATTGCAAAATATACTCGTTTCTCGAGATCTGGTTCTGTGTTGTGCCTTTGTTTTTTGGGGAGGGGGGGGGGATTCGGAAATATTAAGCAATTCCGAAAGGTTACTGCGTATATACTGGAAATTACTATCATTACGAAGATCTTTGAGATTTTGCACCAGTTTTGTTATTCTATTTTTCGAACGAATAATGTCAGTTAACTGATTTTGAACAACATTGAATATCAAATCAGTTTGGCTAAACACTTTCTTAAAAATATTTAAAAGTATGTTAAAAGAGTAATCATTTAATAAAGTTTTCAAACCAATTGCTTCTCGGATCGAGATATCATCACTTTCAAAATCATCGTATTCAATAATAAAATCAAAAACTTCCAAAAGCTGTCCACGAAAAACTGCTGCAGTGAAAACTAGTCGAGATTTAAAATTCCATCGCGTCTGACAAACTGTTGGTATTTTTTTCGAAACAAACTGTTCTAAAACATTAGTCCGTTTAGGCGAGCTTGAGAAAAATAGTAAATCCGCTTAAACTGGCAAGAAAGACATTCAATTTTTTTACATGTATCCTGCAAAACTAAATTCATTCTATGCGCATGACAATGAGTAAATAAAGTATGCGGTGCAATAGTTTTAACTTTTGCCTATAAACTATATATATATATATATATATATATATATATATATATATATATATATATATATATATATATATATATTCAATTCACCAGACATCACTCATAAGTTTGCCCTACCAATTTATTTTTGATATCAAAAAATTTTAATCTGTCCTTTAAAACACCAAAAATATATTCGGCCTTGTGGGTTTAAACTGTAAAACTAATTAGCTGTAAAACCTAAAAACCTCTTATAAATATTACCACGTAACGCGCATCGAACAACAATTGATAATTGTGAACGACATGATATATCGGTAGTTTCATCTACTTCTAGTGAAAAGCAAATGGTTTCCTGAATCTCAGATTCAATAACGTTACTCTAAATGTAACTAATTGATTCTATTAATTCATTCTGGATTGTTTTAGATACACCGTTAAATGTCTTCGAATCAGAAAGTAAATTAGAAAATTCCAAACGTATTTCTTAAACATTTTTATTAGTTCTCTATAATTACCTTGATTTAACGAATGCTCCGATTCATCGGGTCCCCTAAATGATAATTCCTGACAACTTAAAAAAAATACAAAATCAATTAAACGACGTAAAACTGCGTGATTTTTTACAATTTTGTTATGTTTGATAGCATTTCCACGTTGGCCATTATCTAATGAAACATAGATATTTTGTTTTCCAAATAAATCTAATTTAATCTGCCTGTATGTCTGATCTTTCGAAATATCATGTTTCTGTAAAAGCCCTAAAATGCAAGGCCAACAGAAAAGTTTGTTTTTATTTCACTCCCGGTAAGCCATGAGTACTTGCTGTACCAATTATCTGAAAATGATCTATTACTTCCCTTACCCCCGCACTAATATTTATAAGCCGGAACATTTTAAGGATTAGCATTTTTAACTCTTTACGGCAGTGGTAATCAGAAGGAAAAGCCAGTCCGCGCACTCAATATCACTTTCCTACTAAAGTTCTAAGTACTTATCCTGCCCGAAATAATATTTCATTCCGTGCTCTCAAGGTACAGTTTGCGGCCAATCCAAATGAGGATCGGCAAATTTAAATTTTCTGTACTTGGCAATTAAATTCCTAAGGAGAGAAATGTATGTTTGGTTGCTCATCAACTAATATTCCGTTGATTTTTACATGTATATCGTCAACCTTGTCTTTTTAAGAATTCACACAGGCGGATGGATGTCTCGGATTTCGGACCATTAATTTGAAAATTGTTTTACTCAGGGATCACTTAACGTTCTGATTAGACGAATTCTTTTAAAAATCACGAATAAAATTTAGTCTGGTCGAATTCTCTTAAAAACCATAAAAAAAATGTAGTCTTTATTATCTCACAGATATTTTTTATTTCACAGAAACAAATGACATCAACTTATTACCTGCCACAATTAATAATCGAAATACTAATTCAATTAAATATTAAAAAAAAATCTATAAAGGTGTGCGTCAACACTGCTGACCCTGACCGGCCGCCAGTGGTATAATTTAGTGCAATGATATATCCAGTTTTCCTTGTTGATTTTTGCCATTATAGCTGTTTATGTTCTTCCAGTTGCGTTCTATGTTCTCCTTCTCAAAAGTTTTTAATATTTTTCTTATTAATTAAATCTTCTTAATTCTCACTATTTCTCAAGAAAAATCAGTATAATCGTAGATAAAAATATGTATAATCTGTTACACATCATAGGCTTTTGCCGTATCCTAATGTAAAGGATAGACAGACACTAAATAATGAAACTTTGAAAACAGTAGGTAAAGATCATATCGTCGGTTTACTGCCAAAACCAGATAAGTGCATTTTTACCGTTTTTTGGTTAAGTACATTTTCGTAATCATAATCCGCGTATAAATGTACTGCGTAAAACAGATAAGTGTCGGACAATGAAAAAGAGGTGAATTATGTAGGCTTGTTTTGGCAATTATTCATTTTTGTCAAAACTGTACAACTGAAACAAGTTAAGTGCACATTTAACGATAAGTACACATTTCATATGCAAAAAGAAAATTAATTCTTCTAGAAAAACCGGTTAGATGCCATTTAACTTATTTTTGCTGTTGAAGTATAGTAGATTTATAGAATGAATATTCGTATAAAACAGATAAGTGCAATTATCTTGTTTTTACAGTTTATTTTATCGTTACTTGAGCATGCCCAGGTGTGCAAAACCAGATAAATGTCATTTAACTTTTTTTACCTGAAAAAACTTGCACCGCCAAACCAAATTAAAACGACACTTATCTTGTTTTTGCCGCAATGTTATTTTATCGCAGAGGGTTCTGTAAACATTGTAGATATAACCTTAAATATTAGTGTACTTTGTTTGCATATCGGTGCCTGAAAAGAATTGTGTTATACTTGAAGAAAGTGCTTTTTAAGTTATAAAATAACATTTAAAGTGGTCATAACGGTATTGTAAGTTAGAAGTTAGTGAGAACCATGTCCTTGCGCAGTGCACTGATGTTTAAGATGGCACTGAATCAACAACAAGGTTAGTATATTTATTTTTATAAGCAAAGACGATCGTAAATCTCCTTTTTTATTAGCTTCACTTATAAATGTTGGTATGTACGTACGTATGTGTGTAATAAAATTTAATGTAAGAAGTCGTTTTTTAACTATTTATCGTATCTGGCTAAAATTTTGCACACGTGTACAGCCGATACAATTTACTATTTGATTCGATCTGCATGTTTTTAGTATCCTAAATTATTATTATTTATTATAGCGGGAAGTTTAACTGTCGAAAGCAGTGAATTTCTAAATACAATAGAAAATGTTACAAATACCGGTAACGGCGCCCTGTTTGAAGAGAGTAAGCCAGGCCCGTCGAAAGAGCATTCGCCTACATTTTTTGATAATATTATTACACCCGACTTGTCGTCTGAATTAAATTCGGATCAGGAGCAAGCGCTCGCTGAGATGCTAGAGTTTGTTGAGGATTCAGACTGTTCGCTCAAGGATAAAGATTATGTTCCAGAGTCACCTGCCGCAGAACGTGAACCTGATACTAGTATGTATTCAATTTAATATTAATAATAGTGATCTTTTTAACCCTTTAATGCTTAATGTCTACATTTTTAGCCAATAAAAATGCTCTGAATGCTCATATTATTTTCTAATACAAACAACATTTTCTTCAAAAACATTTACAAATGAAGATGTAGGCACGTGGAGTAATGTGGCTAAAAATGTGGACTGAAAACGTTTAAGCATACTGTCATTGCTAATAGAGTTCATTCTCGGACAATTATCATAGTCGACTTCAACCTTAACATGGGTGGCTACTTATTTAGCCACTAAACATTCCGCTATTAGAAAACAGTGTGAGCGTTAAAGGGTTAAACGCCTTCTTTAAAAATTAAATTAGAGCAGAAACAAAACGCGATTTTTTTATTTTAGGTTCTTTCGACAACGAAAATATTTTGGTAATAACTGGTGACAAAGTAACAAACCGCTGGAAGAAGTCCCGGCCTGAAAACTGGAAAAAGAATGTCGCTAAAAAAAGACGATTTGAGAATAAAGCACCAACGTTTATGGACTCTACAAAATGTAGATTAAATTGTAGTGCTAACATTTCAGAAGAAAGAAGAGTGGTGTTATGCCAAAACTTCTGGGCCTTAGATTTTAACCGCCGAAAGGACTTCATCCTGAGTAATGTAGATAGTCATAGGCCAATAAGAATAAAAAGTAACCCATCTGGTAAAAAAAGGCCGCGTACTGATTCAAAAGAATTTTATTTCAATTTAGATGATACAAAATTACGAGTCTGTAAAGCTTTTTTTACAAAAACTCTTTGCATTAGCAAAGAAGTAGTTGAGCATGCGTTTTTGAATAAGGGTGAAGGTAAAATATTTACAGGATTCAATAAAAGAGGTAGAGGACCGCCGAAAAACAAAACAAACATTGATGATATCGAAAGGGTAAAGCAACATATTGAAAGTTTTCCTGTAATGGAATCCCACTATACAAGAATTTCTACGAAACGAAAATATCTAGATTGTAAATTGAGTATAAATAAAATGTACTCAATGTATAAAAAATTATGTGAACATGATGGTACTTCAGTTGTATCTTCAATCACTTACAGACGCATTTTTTGTAATAATTACAACTATTCTTTCTTTACCCCCACGAAAGATCAATGTCAGCTCTGCACACAATACAAAACTAATGATGAAGAAACGAAAAAACAATTACAGACGCAATATGAAGAACACGTAGCTCGAAAAGAGGATTGCTACACAGCAAAAGCAAGAGACAAAGCTAGAGCTATGAAAGATTCCAATTTTGTATGTGCTACATTTGACTTGCAATGTGTGCTTCAAATACCGAGTAGCGACGTGAGTCCAATGTACTACAGTCGAAAAATTTGCACTTATAATTTGACCGTGTATGAGCTGGCACCGCCAAATAATGCGTTTTGTTATAGTTGGACAGAGCTTAATGGAAAAAGGGGTAGCTTAGAAATTGGTACCTGCCTCTTTACTTATATTAATCAGCTTCCCACTAGTGTAAATGCAATATCAGTGTTTTCCGATACTTGCAGTGGACAGAACAGGAACCAAAATGTTAGCGCTTTGTTACTCTATTTGGTTCAAAAAAATCCCAACTTGATGATTATAGAGCAAAAGTTTCTGGAAAGTGGACACAGTTACATGGAAGTGGACAGTATGCACAGTGCCATTGAACGAGCCCAAAAATATGTTCCTGTGTATACAATGCATGATTGGCTAACAATATTTCGCATGGCCAGAACAACATTATCAAAAAAGAAACCGTTTGTTGTACAGGAACTCAAATATAAAGATTTTCTTGTCTTAGAATGCCTTTCTAAGCTTATTAAAAATAAAAAGAGAGACATGAAAAACGAAAAGGTAAACTGGTTAAAAGTTAAGTGTTTTCGATACCAAAAGGCTAAACCAGGAATCCTTGAGTATAGGTATGATCATACCTCAGAATACAAAGAGATAAACGTTTTTGGGAGAAGTCGAAAAATACCCAATTTGAAAGAAATAACGCTAAAAGACGCTTATACGAAGATGCGACCTATAAGTTCAAAAAAAAACAAGATTTATTGAAGTTGTGCAAATCGGGTGTGATTCCACATGAATTTCAATCATATTATTATAATTTACCATCTTCCGACGATGTTCAAGACAATATTCCTGAACCAGCACTTGAAGATAGTGATCCTGAAGTTGACATTTAAGTTAAAAATACTTTAAGACGAATTTCAAATTACGCCAATTAGTTTAGGCAAAATAGGTTAAGTGCAGATTTTTTTTGCATTTTTTGTAATTTTTTAATATTTCCTAATTTTTTTGATTTTTGGCGTTAATTATCTTCACAGTACCACAATCTATGTTATTTTATTCGTTATTAAATGTTTCCTTTCATGTACTTGTTTTACTGTAGGCTTAAACTTTTAAACTTGATTTTCACAAAACTAACAAAATGTAACTTATCTGGTTTTGGCAGTAAACCGACGATATACATATTTTATTTAGGATGCAGCCTAAATACGGAATGTGTTTACTCAAAAATTAGATGTCTAATAGAAAGGGTGAGAGAGATCTTCAACTGCTCCAGAAATATTTTATATAATATGCACCTGAACATTGATATAAAGATGCTTGTCATGCAGGCAAACGTGAATTCCTACATTTACAGAGGATAGGTCTCAACAAAACTTCTACATTTCTCTAGTCATAGATTCAATAAATAAAAAAAACACTTACATACATTTTTTTTATTTCATCTCATTTTTCAATTTTTTTTAATTAAAAACAATATTAACAATAAGTATACTACTATGTACAATGCAATATTTACACACAAATAAAAAAAATAATAGTAATAGTTCACAAATCTCCGCTCAATATATCATACACTCTTAACGTTACAATTATTCTAACAATTTAAAAATTCCACTTCAAAATTACCTACTTTATAAATTATTCACATAATAATGAAAACATTTTTTTCTCAATAAACATCATCTTTGATCAGTTTCACAAAGCCCGGTTATTTTGATAATTAGCTAATGGACCATTAACTTAATAAATATTTCACATATAAAATGTCACTATAGAAATAAATTATTGTGGTATTTTGGAGCCAAATTATTTTATTCAATATATTTGATCTGTTTTGGTGAAATTTTCGCAAACGCTTTCCAAATTCATCTACTAATTTGGATTATTTCTATGACGGATCACGTCGATCCCCATGACGTGAAAGCACTTGCGTACCCTTCTGACCGCTGTGGGGTGGGAGCAAAGGAGATCACCCTTAGTTTGCTTGTACATTTAGCGGAGTGAAGTTCGCTGCTGTCAAGTGCCCATATTTTATTTCTCTCGCTAAGAGCTACTAGGAAAAATAAATTTATCAAAGGAAGTGCTTTCTGCGAATGAAAAAGACTTTTCGCCTTATGTCACCTCGGATTCTGAATTGTAAAGCTCTGAAGAAAATCCAGAAACACGTAAGAAAACAAATCAGGATCATTTAGAACCCAGAAAAGAAATATGGACTTTTTCTCAAGAAATGTGTCAAATATTTCTACAAAAAGAATTGTGATGTTGTATCTCAAACAACAATATCAGAAAATATAATTGACGAAGTTATTGAAAATTTTATTCATTAAAATATGAATTACAATGGTGGGTAGTGTCATATGAATTTTAAACTAAATATGGCAGGTCAGTTTTTTGTTGGTTTGATGTAATACGACTATTAAATACATTATTTATTAAATAATTAACAAGTTTCCTTATAGAGTGATTAATTCTGGTATTAAAGTGTTCTTTTATGCTTTCTATGCAAAAACTCCCTACAAATAATGCATACTAACTATAGATTTGATTAGATTATAAGAGAAACAGGTGATGAACAGCAAAGCAGAAATCAAACATCAAGCGCATGTTTTCAACGCTGGTTCGCTCGGAAATGGAACAATTTATAAGTTATATTATGTGGTTGAACCTGAATCAGTTGCTTTCGGATTTATCCTATGGATCAACAAACAATGTCTACCACATTTTTATATATAAAAATTATTCTTTGCTATTGATAAAAACCGGACATTTTACAGACAAGGAAAACGTTCATGACTGTGGTATATTGTACCAGTACACTCTGCCACAACAATATCACCAATAAAGATGCCAACAATTCTAACAATATCGATACCGATGGATTCAAATCATAGTTATATAACTAAAAACCAAAAAAAAAGGACAAAATAATAAAGATTTAAAAAAAGAAATAAAGATATTTTCAGTAAAAATAACAGAAATGTTTATTGGATTTTGCTTCTATTAAATATGACGTAAGCAATGGAATGTCGACCACCGGCAACTATAATAATAACACAAGAGTAAATTAAAAATCATGTAGACTATTTACAAAATCTCATGGACCTGACTCACTTATTTGGTGACGTCAATCTACGAACGAAACGAAAAAATCTGACATTACTGAAAACATTTGATTGTCTACAGTCTATTTTCACAGTAAGTTAGAGTCGAACTAGTTTTTGTATTAGTAAAATAGTTGGAACATTTATTGTTTTTCTGCTAACAATCGTTTGTAAGACTTTATATTGAGATACTAAAAATTTAAGGTAAATTAGGTTTACTTTAATACTCTTTTTTCTTTAATATAACTGATATTTAATATCTCTTATCTATTATCTTAAAATCAACTGGTTTTACAGGGAAAATATTAATAGAAAAGTGGTATATATCCAAGGGGAGTAAATTATTTTTAAAATTTATTTAATTATGACACGGGACAAAGATTTGGGACATTGCACAACTCCGTTATCTCTAATAGGGCAAATATTACAACCAACTGGTGTCTCAGAAAGCACGGTAAAGAGAGTAATTAAGGAAGGTGAAATAAACCATGAACTTCAAATTTGGTTCAAGTAAAAGAAGCATTTGCAAGCCCAGCACCAAGTCATCAGTTAATCCATTTGAGACACACATTATAAGAAACTTTCATAAGGTTTTTGTTAAAAACTTTAGAACTGAACTTAATTTTAAAAGGAGAATAATCATATTCTAAATGTTTATTTACACTGCCAAATTACCTCTGGTTAAAGCAATCGCTAGTCTTTTTGATTTCACTTTTCTCTCTCAATCCTATTCTATTTGCCCTTAACGAAAAGTGTTCCTACTACTGTAACATTTTTAAACCCATAAGTATATCACAAAAATTGCATAAGGTTTTTTATTTAACACTTTGAAATTGCGCTTAAGATTTTCGAAAAAGAATAAACAGAATCCAGTTGTCCAATTTACATTGGCAAATGCCGATATCCACTTCAAGTAACATCCTTTTTCATTCCCAAGAGTTTCTTTCCCCCTCATATAAATTTAAAATAAGTATCTAAGTTTTACAACCAGATAATACGATAAACGATACAAGGTAGAGCATTTTTACGTCTCAGATAAACAGACGCCAGATTTCCTGATTACGATCCAAGCTTAATGGAATTCGCATTGCAGCAAGAGAACATTTTTCTTCACTTCCAAGTTCTGGCAGTATAGGAGGCCAGTTAAGTTGCGACGGGCTCTGAGCCCGATAACATGTACTTCCAAGTAGACATAAATTGGTGTGGTTGGTAGAAAATACTAAAGGCGTGTTAGAGCAAAGATTTCAATAGTGACAAAAAAGGAATTAAAAATAAATATATTATGAGAGGTTCTGTTGCGCTCATCAATACCAAAATAGGAAAGTAAAAGTTAAAATAATTTAACATAAAAATGATTATCACTTGGTACCAAAACCCCCAGAAAGAGTACCGAATATATCAATGTTAAAGATCCATAAGCTTTGTATTAAATAAACGTAAGTTTTGTGAACCTGTAAATTACATGTTCATTTTTTTTCCAACAAAATTTATAGCTGAAGAAAATGACATGTCCATGTATATCGAATCAGTTATAATTATGTACAGAAAGTACAAGCATGGATATATAAACGTAAAGGTACGACAAAAAATCACCTGAAATACACAATGAACTGAGTTTGTTTCAAAATTTCTTAAGGCATAAAATAAATACAGTTCCTGTTGCTCCAGTGGAACTTATAGAGAGTTTACTTCAAAATGTACAATATTTAGCATGTAGATAAGTATATATTTCTTCATAGATCAAGAACTCACAACTCAAAAAAGAAAATATTGAAATATAATTATAATAATTGTTTATTTATTTACAGCTTGTTTCAAAGGCAGAGGCGAGTAGTTTTACGAGATATTTTATCGCGCAAATACTAGAAACAGCTATGCAGTGGCGTTGCAATATTAAACAATTTGAGAAGAATATTTTATCTTTGAAACCGCAAAATATTTTATTACTCACATAAACAATAAACGAATCTTGCTTTTAAAAGAATTATTTTATTTTTAAAATGGCAATTATGTAGTTATTGGAGACATAAAAAACTGATATATGATGAGTACCAGAAATTATTTTATAGAAGGGAATAAAAAATTAGATTGACTCCGCAATCCACAGAAATATTTTATAAAGTATTTAAATATATACCAATACTGGTTCCTAAGATAATCGAACCAACATTAAACAACGTGTGAGCGAAACTAATGGAGTATCTATACGCTAAGTAGAAAAAATAATTCAATAAGCGAATATTTTAACAAACGCAAATTTCTTCTATAACATCTGCTAAACGGAAAGTAACAGACTTGAGGAACTATGCCAACGGTTTAAAAAACAAATTAATTTACCACTTTCATAAAACTAAAGGTTGTTATGTATGCTTAAAATAGGCTTGAAGAGACGTACGAATGGACTGGAAGGATGAGTGAGGATTGTAAAAGATTTTTTGAGAAATTTAAATGGAAGAAAATTTAAAGATAATCGATGTTTATTATTTGAACAGAATGATATTCAAGCTCTACGTCTAGTATTTAGACAATATTAAATACTACAGAAGTCAAGGTAAGCCAATTGTATTGATAGTGGTAAAGGATTGTTCAAAATCATTTCAATAGGAAGTAGTTTGCTTAACATACACGGTGGTGGAAAAATGGGTTTTATGCAGAATGCCCTTTTGATTTTTACATCAAGTGTCAATTTTGGAGTTTATCATGATGATATGAATTCAGAAAATTACGAAAAAAAGGTTGAAAGAACAGTTAATTCCCCAATTTACTTGTATAATCTGTTGTTTTTACTGACAATGCTCCATACCGTCATGTGCAAATTAATGGAGCACCTACTAATAATTCTAAAAAAGCACACACACACACACACACACATATATATATATATATATATATATATATATATATATATATATATATATATATATATATATATATATATACCTTTTGTTACCACCGCAACTGTATGAAACCACCAAACAATATAAAAAATATATTCAATATAAATTTGACAAGTTATTGCAAGAATTTGGGCATATTTCCTTAAAACTTCCACCATAACATCCAGACTTAAATCCTATTGAAATGGTTTGGGAGCACATAAAAAATGGAATTGCAAAACAAAATGTCAATTTAAAATTATTTAGTTTTATGACCTAACCTAATCTAAAGTCAAATCTGTATGTTTTGAATTGCATAAAACGTTAATTTTATATTGGGAGCTATAAAAGTCTAGTTGGAACAGTAATTTACCAAAGGTACTATAGACAACTGGAAAAAGTGTGTGAACATGCTGTCTAGGTCCAAAATAAGTACTTGAAATATGAACGTGGCATATATTTAATTATTAAACAGTTAATGATAAATTTAATGATTCCAGCGACGACAGTGGACCTGATTATGAAAGTGAATAACAGACTATAACATTATGACATGATGTACTTACAAATGTTTGCTTTATCTATTATCCATAAGTTATTTTAGATATAATACTATAAACAATACCTGTTTTCAAGTTAAAACAATATTTATCAATGAATAATAAAATTGTAATAACTGTTATTTCAAATGTACGAAAATATTGCCAAATATATTCTAATATTATTTTTTAATACATTTTGTCTATTTCGCACCTATCTTCAACCATTCGACTTCTGGTAAAAGTATTTTTTGGAACGCCATTGCTTTGTTTGGCTTGGAACTACAGTTCTGAGAAATTCTCGCCGCTGTTTTTGAAAATAGCTATAAGTAATATAGTCATATAATTCATGACTAGGTTGGTAATCTAGATTACCAATAAATTTATTTGAATGCTTTCCACTAAAGGGATGAAAAGGGACGAAAACCCTTTGTCATTATCTCTTTTTTCCTGAATATTCACCTTGGCGAAACCAATTAGCCATTTTTGGATATTTATTAATTAAATCTGCCATTTATCTCAAAAACTATTGATTTAAGAGAAATATTTTGTGTGTAAAATATGAAACAAAATAAAACTTCCAACAAAATAGATATGCTGAACAATTCAAATGTCGCTCTGATACGAAAACAATGACGTGCAAAACAAGAAATCAAAATAAAACTTTTTTAATTGTTTATAACTATACTCCACATATAATTATTGAGATTTGTAAGTGCAAACAATTATTATTTATATAAAGCACTGAAAACTTTTGTTTTCTACACCTTAACAAAATGTATTACAATTTATTTTCACTACAGTTGTTTCAACACAGTGCCTTCCTCTCTGACAAGGCGCCGATCGATAGAATAGAAAGCATAAAAGTAGACCTCATAAGGTAGATCAACAAACTCGTGAATTGTTATTGCAGTTTTTTGGCTCATTAAAGGGACGTAAAGCGCACTACAGTTTGAAGGACTTTAACCGAGTTTACCTCCCAGAAGATATGAATTTTAAAAAGCTTCTTGAATTATTTTTGACTAAACATCTTCATATTGAGATGTGTTATGAAACATTCAGGCAAAAACACAGAGTTTAACATCTTCGGTTACCTTCGAACTGAAACGTGCTGTTGGTGTCACGAACAGAAAGCGAAAATTATTAAACTTGATAGGAAAATTGCCATTTTAAAAAGTGATAACGAAAAAGTAAAGTTACAGAACGATATGAGGAAGCTAGAATTTGAAAAGACGCTCCATTTGAAGAAGGCCGATTGGTTTTATGAATTGAAAAGGCGTGCAAAAACTGAAGCTAGCAAGTGATCAACTATAGAGGCTATCGCTATAGACTTCGGAAAAATCTCCCTACTCCGAATATAACTTCTGCTGAAGTGTACTTTAAGAGACAGCTGTCATTCTATATTTTTGATATTCATATTTTGTCAAATGGTATTTCAATCATGTACACGTACGACCAAACCATCGCAAAAAGGGCGTTGCCTCAATGCTCTATCATTTTTTTCCACCTACCTGGATCCTACTGTTAAAAAACTTTATGTGTTTGCCGACTCTTGCGGTTTACAAAACAAAAATCACACTATCATCCAGTTCTTTCACTACGTAACTGCTAGACTAAAAAGAGTTGACACTGTGACAATTACTTACCTAGTTCGCGGCCGTTCCTTCAAGGAACCGGACAAAAACATGGGATTGATTCCCAAAAGTGCAAAGACTGAAAACCGAAATGGCTGGAGAGAGGTTAAAGATGCCGCGCGAATCAAGCCACATCCGTTTGTTGTTGTATCATGTGAACAAATTATGTTTAAAGAGTGGGGTATATTTTTGTTCTCCAAGTTGTACAAAAAGAAATTTATGTTTAATATTCGGCAACTAAAACAGTTTATGTTTTTTGACATAAAATGAAAAACCGTGGATCACAGGGAAACATATAACGGATCTTTCACATCATCCTTAGTAAAAGATCAACGGAAGAACCAGAAGGGAAAATCAAAGGTAACCTATCTTCAAGAACACATCAGCTCTACCAAACGCTTATACCTCTGCCCAAAGAAAAGTGTGCTGATCTAAAAGTTTTAATGAAATTTTGTGAAGAAGAGGGATCTAAAGAGTACTACAGTCAACTTCTTTCTGCCAATCAGCCTGAGTTACCATCTGAGCCCGATGATGTTCCCGACTATCAAAGCGATGTTTAAAAATCAGATTAACTTTAGTCAGTAGTTTGTAGCTTGGTTTGTTATTTTAATGTGATGTAGAAATGCCTCACGAAATTAAAAAAATAATAAAAATAAAATTGTTTTGATCTGTTCAGGGAAAGAACCAACTCAGTTCACATTTTGTTTAATTAAAAAATTTCTAACTACGAAATTAAAATTCAACCATAACATTATTTCAGCTATTTATAAAAAGTACATATCGAACTAAATATATAAAAATATTAAGCTAAAAATGTAAAAAACCAAAGAATTTATATCGTTTCAAATTTTCTTGTGTTTCTCCTGAAAAATATAGTTTTTTGACTAAGTTGTCTTTTCCCCTGTACTCTTCAAATGTAGAAATGTAGAAAACAAAAGTTTTAAGTGGTTTACTCTTAGATAAACTGAACTTGATCAAGTAATGGTAGAATACATCAGTTAATTATTTATCTTTATGACCTAACCAAATTTTTTGCAAAAATGGCAATTATTTTATAAAAAATTTAAAACGTTTTTTAGGTAATTTTTATTGTTGCATAATATTTATACCTTTAAACGACCCATTTCCCATGCTTTTATAAACATTTATAGACGATATAAACACATTAATTTGCAAAATTCTAACTATTTTATAAAAAAAAGATATGGAAAAAAATTATAAATTGATTTCTGCTTTCTCTAGCGGCGACCTTTGTGTATAAAAAATCGACTCTGCTGGTTAAATCTAGATAAAATTAGCTATAAAAAATATTTTAATGAAGTGTCTAGCGAATTTCTTGTTAAACTTACAGGTAAACAAACTTTTTAAAATATATACCATTTTTGCAAACATGCAGATACAGCTTTGCACAGATTAGGTTAAATCATAAAAAGTTACAAAAAAATATCAATATTAGTTATGTGGTGAAGTTATGAAAAACTAGTTTTTTTTTAAACCATCCACTTTTGCACGACATTGTATTCTAACCACGGACAAGATTTAAAATTTGCAAAATATCTTACAGAAAATTTAATTTCTATTTCATGGATTATCCACATAATTTCCTAAAATCAATAGGTTTCAATAAAAATTACAAAATATTTGGAAACACCTACAAAGTGGAACATACACAAAAAAATTTCTTGACAAACTACGCCTTCCTTACTATCTTAGGCATAGATGATATTCAGCAATAAAACCATAGGAACTATTTTCTTTTCAAATCTTCAGTTCTTGGATTATCAGTTGTTTCATAATGAAAATGTTAAAAAGGCTTACTAAATTCACAGTACTTTTTTAAAAACAAAATTTTTTGAAAATCTTTTTGGATGGATATTTGTATCTATCACAATATCAATGTCTGTCTTATGAATATACTCAAAATTATGACTAGGGCTGGTAAACATGAGAGGTTTGTTCATAAAATAAGGTACCAAGTCGAATAAACCTGATAAGAGAGGTCCAGAAACACTGACTACGTTTCTCTTCTCCAAGTCAATCACTTCGAGTCGGTTATGACTCTACTCAAAATACGTTTGTGATGGAGCTCGTCCTCATCGCGCCTGTCAATGTGGATGGCGTTCAGTAGTTCGTATATTTTTGTATCAAGGGCACCAATTCTTAGTTGCGTGAGTGCATGGAACAGTAAAAATACAATTTAGTAACAAACAAGCTTAAATATTAGTGGGTGACGTTTTTCTATGTTACATCAAATAGTCCCAGGTGGTACTGTGGATGCAATTGACAAAATGTTCACAGAACAAATACAATATCAAAATGTGTATGCAAAATAAGCCCAGAAAATGTTCACTGAAAATCACAACCGTGTTAAGGTGATCTGTAAAATCCTTTAATAATACGCATAAAATGGAAACAAATTCCATTAGTCAAGGTATGCTACACTTAGCCTGATCATTAAAATGTAAGAAGAAGTTCTGTGGACAGAAAATCAAAAGAAAGGTCAAAATGTATTTTAAAACCCACATTAAACAAAAGAGACCCCCAAAAAATCGGAATGTGAAGTACTGATCTATTAAAAAATAAAAATTAACTTAAAATAAAGGTCTTAATACAAAATGAATATAAAAAGTATTGAATGTCCAAGTTTTTTTCGAAATTCAGTTTTTGTAATATATTCTTAGTTTCCGTTAAATTTTCCAGTTTTGTTTGTATTTTCATTTGTGTTTATATTTTAAGTTTTGTCCATTTTTTTATTATTTGTTTTTAAATCTAATAAAATTGAAGATTTATAACGAACATAGATACATGTTTTTTTTTGTTGGCCCATGTTAGAAATTTACAAATGATTATCAATAGGATATGTAGCCCTTAAATAATCAGATTCGTTTACAACAAAACAAATAGAATACAAATTTTGCTCAATGGTTAAGAATGATGTTTCGACTTCTTTTATAATGATTGCGATAAGTCCTCCATATGCGGAGGACCCACCATATTGGGTCCACAGACATAAATTAGTCGTCCAAGCCAGCAACGCATTTTAAAGCAGGATTTGCTGTTCATCCGTACAAAAATTTAGATTGTACACTAACTAAAATCTACACACTTTTATCTAATCTCCTTACATGGCGACATTGAATGACCTCACACCTCTAGATTTCTTTTTATGGGGATATCTAAAAAGTCTTCGTTGATCCCCTTGCTACCACCGCTCAGTCAAAACAAAGAATTCGTGATAACCAATATTCCAATTGCTTTATGCCGATGAGTGTCCCAACACTTACGCAGATGTTTGAAAGTGAGCTATGAGCAAGACGGCTGTCATCTGGACACAAAGACTTCTAAATATCAAATAGGCAAATGTAAAAAAGAATGTGTTGGTCCATTTTTAGATGACTAATTCACAACATGTTTCAAAATGCCTGGATCAAATCGAAGTTCATTTGAAGACAGAAAATCTATATCTAATCTAGATTTTCGACGTGAAATTACACTTATTGGTATTTAGTGTGACTGTGACACTACATATATATAGTTTCTGATAAACTCGAATACGATTGTGTTGATCATTTAATTGACTTTGCCTTGAACAATAAAAGAATCCGTGATAATATAATAGTCATATAAAAGCCGTTATATTATATTATAACATATTTTTAATAATAGAAATATAAATAAAAAACATATAAATTTAAGAAAACATAATATATTTTGACCATTTACCCTCTTTTGGCATGTGTTACCACATGGTTACCGCCTGTAATTTCTAAATAAAAATTAGTCCATTCTAATACAGCTTTTCCCCTTTTTTTATCGATTTTTGACATTATTCGTATTCGTATTTATATGTTATAAATTAAAAATAATACTAATATAAGCGTAGTGAGCGTTTAGAGCACATATAAGTATATGAAAGACTTCAAAAACTGCTTTGGAAAGTAAACCCGTCACCTTTTTTTTTATATACCAACCAAAATTTTTGTATTTGAAAAAGACAAACTAAACTGCTATCATTTTGGATTCGATACATATTCTTATAAAATTAGTAAGCTATCGCAGATTGAAGATTTGTAGACAACTTATGACTCATTATATTATTATGAAATTATATTATTATGATATTATGAAAACATCATTATTGCAGTCTTAAATTCTAAAGGTAGCGATGCTCGAATTTTTTGAAGTCGAAAATGTTCAAGCAGGCCCAATGACGTCTGTGTTTAAAACAGAAAGGCATATTGTTATTAGAATTTGTGTATATCGTGGTAACAATAAACGGATATCATTGAGAAACATCGACGAAACTTGGTAAAAAGAAGAGGAATGCTGACTAAGAGAGTAGGTTTTTATGACAACAAAGCTCACCTCAACACGATCGATGATCAGTACTTTTACCAAATTTGAATGTGACACCAGCGAACACTTCTCCATGATAGCCACTATAATGTTTACCCATTTGAACACATGTGATTTGATTTGAAATAATAAGTCCAGTGCTGACAGAGATTTTATATGAACATAAAAATCTGCTCCATATTTTATAAAAGTATATCAACCCTAACAGTAATTATGTAGAAAAATGCTAGAAACCACAAGTAATATTAGGGAGACCTTATTTTAAGAACAAACCTCATACTTATCTATCTGCTAAATCAAATATAAATAAAAGCTCTAGTAAATGATTTAATTCAGTGTTCCTCTGCACTGTGGCGCTCCACATAGACACGTTATTTTCGCATCTTCTATGGGGAATTTGTAGTCATACGTTATTTCTTCGTTGACTCCTATACTCTGTTTGGAATATATCACAATTTTCTTCTGTGATTCTATAGTTATAATCTTAGCGTAGCAGTTGGGCTGAAACATAGTTGATTATTAATATAAAGAGAATCGTAAATTAATTTAAAGTTTACACTTACTACAACTGAAAAAAGCGTTGCTATCAAAAAAGAATACATCGTAATTTACTATTTTGATTGGGAACAAACCACAATTTTAGATTTCCACGGGAATTGTTCTCAAAATAAAAACCATTAACAAATTAAACTATACCATTTTTCAAAGTAAAATCGTTGCACGTTAGATTTTATATAAAGTGACGTCACTTATATTTAAAATTTCCAGAACGTCAACCTTAGAGTTCAAATTTTCCTAACACAGCTAATAATACGAAACCCATACGGAATTGCTCGATCTTTCATAGGCGTCAACATGATATAATAATCAGAAAAATGTAATCATCATTATGTTGGGAATTTTAGAATTATATTGATTAAATAACCAAAAACATTTGTTATTATTAATAATATAAATTTTATGAAATAACTCTTAAGTCTAATATTCCACAAAATAATAATTTTAATAGATAAATAGATTAGACAATTGTACGCAATTGATACGAGAATACTTCAAATTTTAATGCCAGTTCAGCGTGCAGGAAAATTGTTTAAAGTGTTGCCGCTTTTTAAAGTAAGAATTTTGTTTATGTTTTGATTTCTTACACAATTTGATCATAATATTATATATTAATAAATTGTATTTATATATACATATTAAATTTAGATTAATAGCTTTAACCCATTTAGGCCCAATTTTAGAAACCATAATAAAGCCAATGATTTTTTTATTAAATATATATTTAATTAAACATAGATAAAGATAATTTAAAAGCTACATGAAGAAAAAAAAACTACACGTCCATTTTTTAACGGGCGTTAACGCAACATTGGGACTATACGTATAAGATAATTATTATTTTCACTTGTCTCTGAAACAATGTGGATGTAATATATATATTACATTTTTTTCACATAAAAACAGTTGTACTTTTACATAGCCTACAACGCCTTCTCCAGTTTTCATTATTGTGTTCAATCACGTGGCCCACATTATCCAAACGCGAGGTAGATGGTAAGGATGAACTAGAGCCACGACCTCTAACAGATTTTGTGCTACTTTTGTTAACACTAACAAGGCTTCGCACAAGTTCTGACCTAAAATCTAACTGCGAAATTGATTTTCCTTATGTACAATTCTGTAGAGTTTCCAGGTATTACCGACAACAGAGTGTAACATGTTTATAAATATTGGCCACCACCATTTTTTCCCACGGATATTAATTCTATAATTAGCCACTCCATTGTCATGTAAGTCCATTATTGTTCCAACGCAACACACTTATTTTATTGGTTTGATCGTAGAGACAATCCATAGTGCCGCGATCTTTTTTTCCAATGGATGTTGTGTTCTCCAACGGAAAATTTAGCAGCCTGTTTTCACGTATTGTTCCAGTGGCAAAGTATCCAAAAAAACCGATAGCGGTCGTATTTATATTCGATACGACTGATAAACTGAGCATAAGCAAGACAAAATAAAAAATACAACGTGTTTATCAGCTGAGTCAGGTTTACACAAGAAATTAGTCACTTCTATGTACTATTCTTATTGTCCCATAGTTGCCTTAACGCAACGCTGTATTCAAAGTCCTGAAACGACATTATTTTCTAAAAACAAATAAATTTTATGTTTAGAATATTATTCCATTATGTCCCTAAGTTATGAAAATATCTTGTAAATGATAAAATAATAATACCTAAATATTTTAAAGCATTTTTTGAGAATATACCTCGCTTGTAATAATTTTAATAGTTATGTTGCTATTTTTAACGCTATTTTGAATTATTTTTTTTGCGTGGAAAATTTTTTTTCTGAATTGTTAAATCGTTCTTAACACATAACTATCCGCAATTTATAAAAAAACCTTTAGTATGAGTGTAAAAAAATTACATTCAATGTGTTGCATTAACGCAACTATGGGCCTAAATGGGTTAAAAACTAATTATTGTTGTGTATTGTGATTGTGTTATATCAAAACAACTAAATAGTCTGCAGAAAGCTGATAAGCTTTCATATAAGATAGATTAGTTTGAACAAGAAATAATGGCGGGACGTTTTTACTATTAAAGCTCTAAAAGAGGTAAGTTTAAAATTTAGAATATATAATTTTGTATTAAAATGTTTTCTCATGTATTTTATTGTGTTGCATGAGTCTTAAAACTAAGTGTATTTACTGTTAATATAATAGTTTGACAAATAGTTGACATTTTAAAAATTCCTCACTTACTAACTATTCTGATATTTTGGCAACGATGTGCTGTTCTGACGTCGTAAATCTTGAATCACGTGCAATCATTTTTATATGAAAAATTCTCATGCTATAACATAGATGCCTATTATAATGAGCTCCGATATAAACTACAAATCGCACACGACAGAGCTAAAACATTCTTACTAAAGTACAACAAGGGAAGACAAGACGCAATCAAGCTATTCGCAGCACTTTAACATTTCAAAATAGGAGACCTAGTCCTGCTCAAAAGAGAAGAAAATAATATATGTAATAATATATGAAGTATATATCGGACCACCTACATACTTCGGGCTTTATACATTCTAACACGAATTTATCCAGAGTGATTCCACTCCCCGTTTAAGTTGTATCCCAGATATGTGAAGCATTGTACTCTT